TCTTTACTCCTACAGCGTTGCCTAGCGTTACACCATCTTTACTCCTACAGCGTTGCCTAGCGTTACACCATCTTTACTCCTACAGCGTTGCCTAGTGTAACACCATCTTTACGGCCTGCAACGTTGCCTAGTGTTTGCCTCTGATTATTTCGACATTGATTGTTATATGATGAAGTGACCAATATGTAGCACTACGGAAACTTTGTCCACTTACCCAATCCCAAGTTTTCTGCCATTTCTGAATAAATTTTTCTACAACTTGGATCGTCCTGTACAAGGTCAAGCTTTGTTCCACACAAATAAACCTTACACCCCTGAATAAATGAAGTTTAAAAAAATTTTCATTGTCTCATGGATGAGGACTTTTCAAGGTTGTTGTAAGTATGGGATTGCCTAGTACTAGGGTAAGGTTTGCGTACGTCGTGGACACTCTTAAAATAATGATGATGATGATAATTTATGTAACGTTAATTCCTTAAGCTCAACAACGCTTACATTCACATTTTTAATGATGTTAGCAATATTAATATCAACACGTATACAACAATTCATATTTTTATAACTTAATATGATATCTATCAAAAATTAGAAAAGGGTGGGTAAAATTAGCAATTTTATGTTAGTGGAAATAAAAAGAGTGAATAATTAAGATTGTACGTCTTTTTAAAAAGAAAAAGAAAGCAGGTCTCGATAACAAACCCGTTCTCGATTTCAGTCGAAAATAGATATACCGAAAATTTCTCACCTCTTCGTACTTCCGTAGTTCGTTGATCCAAAACTTTGCTCTTTCGAAGCTTGTATCGTCGGTAAGATCTGAAAATCAAGATTCAGATGTAGCGCACTTGTAATGTAAAATGGTTGAATGGATATGTCTTCAACGCGATTTAAAGGCAATATTCGCTTTCAGTGACAACTAATATTACCATAACAAACAACAGCAGCTTTTGCATTCCGGTAATATACCCGAGCCATCGCATTGTATCGCTCTGAACCAGCAGTATCCTGCAATATATCAATCCAATAATATTATTCAAGCGTTGTTCATTAACATTACAGTCCATGAATACAGTGTTCATACTGACCCATATTCCCAGAACTACAGTTTTACCATCTACAATGACTCTGTGACTTCCATAACCTGCACCTATGGTCTGAAACACGATCGGATTTAGTTGCATTTTGGTGCAAAGAAAACGACTTGGTAATCTCTGCCGGTTGCTGTGCTGCCTACTATGGGACTGGGAGCAGGAGTTGATCGAAAAATAAGCATTTATTTAGTGCAGGGGAAAAATAGAAAAGGAAAAAAGTCAAAAAATCAAGGATAACATATCTAGAGTGTATCAAATGCTCCTGTGTAATAACACTATTCTTGGCGATACTGATCCATGATCGGCCCCGTCAGGCAGTCAACCTACTATTACATGATTAAAGCGATGACTGTTATTCTTTCTTTCATGTGACACATGCTACAATACTCAAACTTACGCAAGAAAGCCTGTATTTTGCAATCATGGTTGTAGTGGCTATTCAAGGAACAAGGCTATGACTATCGACAAATTGGACGATCTGTTGCCCACTTTACAGATTGTTTCAGTTCATCATTTCACTTACCGTCGAAACATTTTCTGGGTTGTATCGCTTGTGAAGGTATCGGACCACCAAACACGATTTGCCACCATTCTCTTTACCAAGTAATACAATTTTTAGCTCGCTTCTTGCTTCTGTCATTTTACAATAGAAAATCTACGAAATCCTAATATAGCAGACCTCGATCTTCCTTTGTTGGGGTTTAAAGGAAGCTCTGTCGATCATTTGGCAAAACGCGACATATACGTCGTCATACTAGTTGAGTGTCAGTTTGACCTTCACCCGAGCCATGTTACAGTATCTTTGTCACGTAACAGTATATGATGTAATGTGACTCTAGCTCGAAAAAGAAAGCGACCTTAAAGAAATTAAAGATTTTCAATAATGAAATATTTTTCTCAACTAAGATGTTTAACATGTAATATTAAGGGAAAATTCGACCAAGGTTGACCCGATATATGATTTCACGTGTCTCTAAGGCTTGCATCCCTCTAAAAAAAACTTGTCATTGCTTATCAGTGGCGCAGCTCAACGAGGTCGAAAGGCTGGTTTTCACTAGCGACATAAGCGACGGAAGCGAGTTTGCCTAATGGTCGTGGGTCGTGGGTCGTGGGTACGAAGTCGTGGGTCGTGGGTACAAAGTCGTGGGTTCCATTTTTTTTCCAAATTTCCAAATTCATCATTTCTTCACTATTCTTCTAAAACGAGATTGTGTAGCTTTCTTCCTGTAAATTCGCGAACTCGACTCGAAGTATTAACGTAAAGCTTATAGCTTTTTGTTTCTATTATTAGTTTATAGGTTTTTTTATAGGTTTAAATATCGACTCTACTATGCAAAGTGGTTCTCAGTAAGGTGGTTCTCAGTAAGGTGGTTCTCAAAACTGCGCAAGCTCCCCGCGTTATAACTCAGGGTTTTTCCTTTTTTTGAAAAGGCAAACCAAGCTCTGAACCAGGATTAACCGGTAACGTCTACATAAAATCCCCAAAC